TTTTTAGCTTTTCATCTCTAAAGTTTCCCCCACTTTCTTTATAAGTAACTTTTTGTACTCATTTCACTGGCTTATATAATATGTAAATTATACAATTACAACTACTATCGGCATAAACAGGTTTGGGAACGGCTAACTCGAGGTAGACATACAACTCAACTGGTGGCAGCAGTACTTCTCAAGCATACCGGAGGGTCAGCTGTGAGCCTTCAGCTAACCATAAACATCAGTCAGTATGCTTTAATCTGGTTAACCAGTACAGCTGGAGGAGGGGTAGGAGGATTGGTAAAAGCATCTATTACAAGTAAACATCTATCTCTTAAAAATCACTCCTGGACCACTCCTAACATTTGTGGGATGTATGGCAACAGTACAAATGGAGGCCAACCCTGATGTATTTGAAGTACCTGAACAGCTAAGAGGTAATCATCATAATGTTATATCCTTCTACCTTGACAAATATTTCTTCTCAAGGAGAACTCTGTGTTCAAGTGTGGAATTCTCAGTTTCTTAAGACATGAACTGGAAAGAGAAGGCATGAAAACTAGGTTGGCCTGTCCTTCCCTGAGCCCCTGGCTCTTTTTTCTTCTGCCTTCAGCCTACCAGAATGGTCCTGGCATGTATGCATGTGCACACTCCAGTCTACATATCTGAGCTCCATCCATACTCCCCACAAACTGCCACCCATAGGGGTATATACCCCTGTATATAGTCTTTTTTCAGGATGGACTTGGGGAAGAANAGCTTTACGGCACTCACAGCAACCGCTGCAAAAGGTGCCGTCAAGTGCAGAGCCGCGGAGTATGGCGTGGTTGGTGGCAGGAAAGTTCCCATGGTTGGTACTCGGCTTGTCAACAGGCTGGACAATGTTTTCATATCATGAATACCCTCCTATTAACAGCATATCCTTTAACAGCTATGTAGGGTTACATGTAAGCACCACAATCTAATTACCCCGTTGTGGTGACCTTGTGCAAAAGGGGCATAAACACACTAGTAGTACAACGCAGTGTCAATGTAAAGTGGGGTTTAATAAGGAAGGACTTGGACAGAAAAGTAGAGTGTATATGATTTCCTGAGTTCATATTGTATAGACATCCCAGCCAGGCACAGCAGAATTTGTATACCAAGGAAAAGGCTCTGAGGAAGCCAACTCCCATAATGGTCTACATATTCATAACATTTGCTGGGGATGGGATGTGCAGAATATATCTAGGTTAGTACATAACAATGGTAACAGCAAATTAGAAAAGGGGAGCCTTCAAAATTCAGGTAGCCCATTCTTTTTGTTGAGATAACTTAGGCCTATTAAGCCAGTTCTTTGTTCTAGCTACCAAAAAAGAAAACAGAATTTGCCTCCAGAGCCATCCAGATTTGCCTTTCTCCATTTAACAATTAGGTTGCTTGTATTTTGCTTTTCTAATGTTGCAATAAATATTGGCTTGTGAATATATACGTAATAGAAATACTTAAAAAGGGAATTAACTTTTCAAGGGTATGTGCATTTAAAATCTTGACACTGCAAAACTGTTCTCCAGAAGTGTTGCATCTGTTCACATTCTGTCTTCTATATAAGGATATTCATTCCTCAATCACTGTCACACTCCTCTCCCTAAAACTAAAGACTATCCAGTCTCCCTTTATTCTTCTCTTGGTGAAAATGATCTTAGTGACAGGAGCTCCACCCCCCCCCCCTTTTTTTTTGACCGGTAAGGGGATCGCATACCTCGGCTTGGTGCTGCCTGCACCACGCTCAGCCAGTGAGCGCACCGGCCATCCCTATACAGGATCCGAACCCGCGGCCTCAGCGATATCAGCACCGCACTCTCTCGAGTGAGCCACGGGGCCGGCCCACTCCAGTCTCATTTTGTCATTGAATGGTTTGGTTTTTCTCCCAAACTTGTTTCAAGTTAGAATACAAACTTTAAAAAGGTTTAGTTCTGGTTCTGACTCTCTTAGTTACCATCTACAAAAATGTGACCCAAGAGGTAAAAAGCTCCAAAGACAGAAACTAAATTCCTAATTGTTATTACAGTCACTTGTAGCATGTTTCCTTTTCCACTTATAGCTGCACTGTACAAAACAGTAGCTGTTAGCAACATGCAACTCTGTTTAAATTAAAATTAAAAATTCAATGGCTTAGTGTGCTAGCCACATTTAAAGTGTCCAATAGCTGCCTGTGGTTATGGGCTACTGTACTGGACAGCACAAATCTAGAACTTTCCATCAATCACTGCATAAAATTCTGTTGAACAGCAGTGCTCTAAAATGTAAGCTTTCTAGGCAAAGGGACCGTGACTTTTAATATTCACCTCTCCAAGAGCACACTGTAGATATTAATAAAAGAGTTAATAAAATCAAGCACT